TGGCTCAATCCCATGTTATTTGAAGTGTAAAGGAATTGCGTATTAAGGGTACACTAAAGTAAAGTGTGAACAAAACGAGTTCATAGATATTGTAAATTTTACTATGTTTACAGTTTCCGAAATAAACTCATTCACCTGTTATTGCGTTTAGGAAAAAATATTTCAATTCCTAAATTTATCACATGTACTAAAAAAATACTAATGTAAATCAATTAATTTTTATAAATATTTTATCTTATAGAAGACTATTTCAAAATTCCGTTAACAAAAAACTTAAATTTATTTTTGTTTCTTTGATTTATAAATTAATTTTTAATAATTCACTTAAAGTTCTTAATTTTATTTAGTTTAAACTCTTATTTTTTCAATTTACCATTAATATATTAAACAGTTATTATATACCTACTGATATTTTCATTAGTGTACTGCGTTTAGTACGCATTGATTTTGTGTGTAACAGGTTAAAGCTAACATTTTAACAGACGATATCCCAATTGAATACCAAAATTACTTTTTTCCTATGTTTCGAGTGCTTCTGCAAAAGGTATCGCCCGAAAGCGTCTCGAGATTTCATAGTGGTTTTTTTCGTAGCTTAAAAGCGTCTTGAAAAAAAAATAAGTATTTTTCACCAGAATACCGAATGTGGCCAGTTCATTTAGAGTTACCCAGGACGCTAATATCACCTTTATTAATGTGTCAGTGTTAGTGGTTTTAAATGTATCATAAATTAATTTTAGAGATCTTTCACAAATATGTTCATGTGGCTCTTTTTACAGAATTTCGAATAATCGCCATACCTATTTTTCATATTTTTCTTGAAAATGATCGAAATAACTCTTTATAGTAACATTACCGCTTCTATCGGTTTTCATGTAAAATTCTAAATTTTTTTACTACAATTACATCTTTGAATATCATCTTTCTATAATTTATAAAATCTTCATTTTTACACATTAATAGTATTCCATTTTTTACCGTTTTGGCCTGTCATTTGACCTTGCAATAATATTTAAGAAAATGCTGTAAAAAAGATAAAAAAAACTGGACGCAGTTGGTAAACTCCCTTTTAACAAGATAGCAGGGCCATTCCGAGAAGGTAACAGGGAAAGAGTGTCACACCTCCTTGCTCAGCAAAATTTAATAGTTTTAAACGGTATTTTTTTAATAGAATGCAACCAAAAAATAATTATTAAAAAAGGTCACATAGTTTATGAAAAATTATTTAATCGACGAAGATAAATTGTTCACACCCTCCCCCCATATTTTAACCTTGGAACGACACTGCATCTAATTTAACGTAGAAATACTTTATAAACATAAAATATACATGAATATAATTATATGAATTGATAAGAAGAAGTATTTTTATTGAACAATGCAGAGATAAGCAATTAAATTATATGACAGATCAAATTATTAAAAAAAAAGAATTGAGAACCAGAAAAAAAAACAAAAAATGTATTATAAGTTTGCATTATATAAACATGATACGATGTAATCTCAATATATAAAAAGATGTACTTAAAAAAAAAATTTGACACTGTTTGTCTTGGGCCTAATTTTTTAAATTTAATGCACTCTAATATCCATTAAGTAAAGTAAGTTTCTCGAGATATATAAAGGCAATAATAGAAATAAAAAATAAGAACAACTTTGTTGTTCAATATTTATGGTGGGTCAATTCATACCCACCGAACACTAAATTTGGACTGCGAGCTGCCTATTGTCTTGGACTAATGAAACAATGTTTTTTTTAATAATAATTAAAGTTAAAATTTAGTTACGTAGGATTTATTTTTATTTTTAATTTGTAGTAATTTGTTGTTACTACAAATACATACAGGGTACTAATTGTTTAATGAACATTTAATAAAAATAATTATTTATGTATGTGTTTCTTTTTTTTTTCAATTGCCCTTCATTTCTCGATTAAACAAATTAATAACATATAATGCCCAATCTCCTAAGTTAAAAGTGATTTAAACGTGTTCAGACTTTATGATGTTGTATTGCCTGTTCTAACTGACGGGTATCTGGGTTTTATACTTTGAAAACAGCACAAGTGCCTCTCTTGTTATATATTGTTTTACACATGAGTATGAATATAAGTTGCTTGGGCTTATAGTTCCGGAACGACTGTGCGGTCCGTCGAGTGCACACACAAAACTTTTCAACACCGAGCCAGTAATATTATTAGTTTTTTACATCGTATTAGCAATAGAAGAGATGATAAAAATAGTAAAACCTTTTCTAACCGGAAATACGAACCGAAACTATATCTGAGTTTGTCTGGCGTTTTGCAGTAAAACAATTTTTGACCGGATATATTCTCGTGCCGTGTAAAATAAAAACATTGTGACCCTTTCAGTATATACTTTATAATCGAATTATTTACGTTTACTACTTACAGATAAAATTCTAATATTTTCATTTAGCTTCTGTTGAATAGGTTTATTTGCGTACACGAAAACAATTATACAGAGTGATTCTTTTGTCATGTACCACAGCGGCGTACACAAAACTCTTCAAGGGGTGTCACAATATATATAATTTGATCGTTTATTTTTTTGCATATAATTTAATAAAATGCTTCTCTCTCAGTTTAATAAAATATAATAGATAATAACGATAACAATAGTATTCTAATTTATGACAATAGAGTTTTGTACGCCAAGAGCATTTTGAAATGCCTATGAAATAAACAATTCAAAAATATTCTTACCTCCACTGTTAAAAACGTGGGTTTGTATGATTTCGATGTAAAAATATATTTGGAAAATAATAAATTTAATGTATAAGTTAATTTTTTTTATTCGTCGTATAACAATTAGACAAGATACATTAAAAACAAAAAATGTCGACAAATTATTTATAGCATCTGTTTAATGAGAGTGTCATAACCCCCCTGATACCTCCCTTATATAAGTCACTCATGAACTACTTGCTTAATCAATAAACAAAAATAATAATAATTTATTTTTAGTTTCCTCCATGTTTTAATCAATTTACCTATGAGGAAGTACTTTTTATATTTATTTCTAATGTCTTTTAAAGGTGTTAATTTACTTTATTAATGGAAACATAAATATTTAACTATCTTACCTGTAAAATTATGAACTTTTAAACTAGTATTTCAAAACATTTTGATGGGTCGACAATAACTTTAGGATAAGTACTTATTAAATTACAAGCATTTTAACACATTGAGTGGATATGTAACGCGGGAGGTTACAGCCCGAACTGGTTTATATTTTTTGTAAGAAGGGATCTAAAAAATTGCTATTTTGAATATTAAATAAAATTATTCAATTTTTTTTTCTTATTTGGTATAAATAATAAAATATGTGTTTTTAGTATAGTTCAAAACTGTAAAAATTAATAAATAAAAGTAACTCAAATGAGTAAAATATACTAAAAAAAGAGGATAACTAAAGCTCGGGTATATTTATTATTAGAAATTGGCTACCCCACCTCTCCTTCCACCTAGGTATAAAAATGTTAATCATTTTCAAAGTATTTAATAATAGTGAATAACAAAGTTTTTTTGACCATTCATTTTCTTAATTAGATCAATTATATATTTTTAAAAAAAATGGTAGCACAGTGAGGTCGTGGCATAGTTTAGACAAGTATAGATGATATCTAAAAGTGATATCTCACTATCATAAGAAACACTTCGTTGCAAATCTGTAGATAGCTTTTAATTTTAAGAAATTGATGGGTTATTCTAAAAACAAAATTAACTCCTATTTTTTGTTCAACTTCGACTGCTATTTGCACCTAAAACATAGGTCGTCGAAACAAATTTTTTTTATAGCTTCCGGTACATAATGTAAGCTTTAGTTTAACATATGTTTAAGGACGCAGAGTTTCCGGAATATTTTCAAAAGTTAAGTTAAAAAAGTCCTATTTTTTATACGTATGTTTCAAGTTTTGACCTTTGTATAAGGGTAAATTACTCGATTTAAAAAAAATGTCGGATGAAAGGGGTATATATAATGTATTAAAAAACAAAAAGTTATGTTGATACGTACATTTTTCGAAAAGTTATAGCAATTTAAAGTTGAAAATATAAAATCAAAAATTTCAACATAAAAATAGCATGTTTTTAATTACGGCAGCTATTTGCGTGTAGAAGATAAGTTTTTGAGACAATTATAATATGACTGAAATATAAGGGAAGAATTTGCAAAGTAACTAATAACTCATAAATCAAGAAATATATGAAACCAAAAAAAATAATTTTCTTAATATAATTATTATCTAAAAAAAAAATGGAATGGTTAACGTTTAAAAATTATCTTGTATAAAAGAAAAAATGAAAATAATTAAGCATTTAATTGAATATGGTAGTATTTCGTTCATTAAAGTTTAGTGACATAAAATTTGAATAACATTACAAAAAATAAATATATATTTTTTCTTATCTTTTTTATTATAAAAACAAAACCATGTTAATGTAAAATAATACAAATTATTAAAATTGAAAAAACATGTTTTAGCAAAAAGTTTCTAAATAAAAAGTATAAGCTTATAAGGAATTCCAATGGGTTTTGGGAAGCTACGACAGTATGATACCAACTGAAAATGAATCATCAATCAGACGCCATATGGGACAGTTTGTCATTTGAGACTCTGGTAGATGTGTTTAGTAGATATTTTATATAGTTGTTAACCTTTTGCTAAAATGAGTTCTTTTGATAAGTAATGCCAGTACACAATAACATTACAATATTTTATAAAAATTTTATTGTTTAAAATTGAATATTAACACATGTTAACAATCAACTTCAAGTGAAAAAAACAACTGTTAATTAATCCATCATAATGGTGTGCATTTTTAATAGTTTTTACTAAATTACTAACTATTTTTGTTTGTATACTTACAAACAAAAATAAAGTAGGCTATTTCTATGAAAACTTAATTATTAGTCGTACTGAAACTTAGGTAAAGCTCGTCATTTTTTAAGGTAATACATTTTTATGTGTAATTTTATTAGCATAATTGTTACATGAAAAAATATATCATTTATAATTAAAATACATAATAATATTTAACTACATAATTTGTTTACATATTTTTTACTTCATCAGAAATAGTCTTTATTAAAAATATATATAAAATACAGCCGTAAAGGTAAAATTCATGAAAAAAATATTCAATTTATAATTTTTATAATATTTAAAATATTAAATAATTTACGATTCAATAATTATTTTTTTTAAATTTAGTGTATTTTGTACGCTTATAAAGTTTATAAGCTCTTCAGCTAAATATATTATTATTACTATCAAATAGACCAACTTGGGGCAGTTAAATATCTATTACCATTTTAGCCTTATCAATCTACAGCAATAGTTAAATGTTCTCAAGTATTGTTAAAATATAATGAAATATTTGTTTACAAAAATTAAGTGATGAAATCTATAAAATATTTAAATGCCTCAAATTTAATCTTTTCACTAAATTGACCATTTTACAGTACTATTTTTTTTTTTTTATATAAATTAAATAATTTTGTATAAAAATGTATTGTTGTATTCTATAAACAACATAATAATCTATTATTTCATAAATAAAATATGTTGTGGAAATGAAAAATGATACTAAATCAATATCTTTTCTATTTTTCATGAAAAATAAGTCTAACATTTTTATTTATAATAGTTAAAATAATTAAAACTAATGAAAACATGACATAATTTATTAAAAAGTGCATAAACGATTCAATATTCAAGTAAACAATTGGATAACCGTTTGTATGATAAATTTAAGTAATTTTTTTCTGCTCATAATCAATTTTCGTTTAATTCCCAATACTTTAAATAGCATTTTTCGATTTAATTACTCTATTCAAATTAATTATATCAACTATCAACAATTATAAAAGATACATTTTGAGTTATATTTATTTATTAAATTTATTGATTAAAACTTTGTTAAAGTAAATCAAACTTAAAATTAAATTTAATACTTTTTTACATTTTATATAAGATATTTTAAATTTACTCATTTTTAATAAATTATTAAAAATTGTATACATATCTTACAAATGAAATATATTATTTTAAAAATTAAAAAAAAAATTATTATACCTCTAAGAAATTTAATTTAGTCCCAAAATAATTTAATCATATTCATGATTTTATTACCCTATTATAATTAAAGGAAAAACTATTTTATTTTTATAGATCTTTATTCTGAATACTAATCAAGTTTTTTTTAAAAACTCGTTTTAATCAAAAGCAAAAATTATAATAAAATATGAAATTTATATTGCTATTGGATTTTTTTAGATATCAAAAAATGAAATGGATAACGTTGTGTCTTGTGTCAATTCTTTTAATTGTATGTATTTTTGATTTATAGTGACTGTGATAATTATTACTGAATAAAAAATTTCTGTGTAAAAAAGACATTAATTGCAAAACAAGATTACTGAAGTAATTGTGCTTCATAATTAAATATTATTTTTCTCGTTTAGGCTATAACTATAACTAATACAAATGCTGCTCCTGAGGCAGATACTCCTGGAAATCAAAATGAAAGTAATATTTATTAGCAGTAGAATATAGTCATTTTTATGTATAAACTATAGTCAATGCAACGTTTTATTTTAAGTTAAGTATCACAGAAATTTTTTTAAATGGATTATCTGATTTTTAATTGGCAAAATAAAGCCAAAAACAAAATAAAAAATTGATCAAATATTGCCTAAATTTATCATTTATAATAATAATAATACTTATAACTGTAATTTTAATGCTACGCGTTATTAAAATTAATATTGCAAGACTTTTTGCTTCATTAATTATTATAAAAATAGTATTTACTACACATAATATTATATATTAAATTGAAACTAAAATATCAAAACTAGCTGTTTTATATGATTATCGTTTTTTTCTGTGTATTTTCATTAAAAAAATATTATATGGAATTATTTTGAATTATATGTCTCCAATTAAACATAATTCATAATTTTTATACGTATCGGGTCATTAAAAGCTGAGAATTAAGACGATAGAAAAAAACACATATTAAAATTAAAACCGTCTCAGCTACGCTATGAAGTTAAAAAATTGTATGACCTAATTATTTTCTCACGAAAAATTAAAGAGTCTAATAAGAATAATTAATAAATAAAAATTAATCAATGAAATTTGTAAATATTTCAGAAAATTCTCAAGTAAAAACAGAAAACCATGCACAGCATTCAAGTATGTAATTAAAAACAACAATGCCCATATATATATACACAATTTTATGTAGTATATATTTATTTAGATCAAATATCAAATTTTTTATCGGGTATTAAACATTCAATCTGCGATCGTATTACAAATGGTGCAAACTTAGTGCGTACAGGAATAAAACGTTACACATCACGCGTTGGTTCATTTTATAATAATAAAAATAAAGAAACCAACGAAATAAAACCGGAAGATAATGTAAAAACATAAATTTAATTATTAATTTTGGTATAAAATATATTATATATAATATTTATATTATTCAAGCTAATGTTATTATTTTATTAACAAATTATTATTTGAATGTTAATTTTCTTAAATAAAAGCACGCACCCATAAGAATGTAATATTTTCTAATTGTTCTAAACATTGCCATTCTAATTAAAAGCATATCATTTTTATTCACAACTTATATGTCAATAGAAAATATTATTATCATATAAACATATTTTTGCGTATAAAAATAAAAATCAATTTAATTTGTATCACCCAAACCATAATCCCAAACAAATAAAGAGATTTAATTTTTAAATGAAAAAAATGTGCTTTCTATGAATCATCGGAACATTATATTTATAAAAAAAATTACACATTTGCTTTAATATTGAGTGTTATTTTTTTTTATTTAATCCATTTGGATAAAAATTTAAATCGAGAAATTCGTGTACAATTTATATATTTTTCAACACTACGTTTTTATTATCATATTTTGCTATTAAATGTAAAGTTAAACATTTTGACTGATCGATTATCAGTTTTGTATAATCACTTTTTGAGATATTAGAATTTGAAGATTAAAAAAAGACGAAGAGCGGGGTAGTGTTTAGTGACGTTTTTAACACACAGACAAAAATTTAAGAATTTTTGCATTGAAATATACCGAACCTAATTATTTTTCGGTTATTTTATTAATATAATATTTCATGTTGACATATAAAAATAATTAAGGAAGGGAGGAATTAAGTTAGGTCCACCAAACATTTTCTTCAATTTGCGCCTATGCAGTGGATAATTAAAATATACACTGAAACTATGTGAAAAGTTTTTTTTTTTTTTTTTAAAAAGAAGTTCTAGAACGAGTTCCTATTTTAGAAAATAAACAAGAACGAAACGAGTGCCGTTTAAAAAAGATTTTTCCCAACACTGCAAGATTTCAACATTATGCATTCATCTCGCCTAAAATTTATAATAACTCAAAAATGAATAATACAAAATTAGTTGTCGACTGTTAACATTTTATTTAGACCATAATCCATTAAATTGTTCAAAAATAATTACAGAAACCTTGGAAATTCTTTTTTTTATAAACTTGATATTTACTATGGTTTACCAAAATAAATCAAATTTTCTTTTTTGAATTATCATTATTAAAAAAAAAAAATTGTGCTAGTATTAAAATAAAATATAGCTCAAGATATCAATTGTTATTGGCGTATACTTAGATTCCCATAGAAACGATCCACAAAAAATAATTGTAAAAATTTAATATTTAATGACGAATTTGAGATCGTAACTAGAAAAACATCAAAGTACAAACGCCCTACTTACTTATGCACATGTTCACATTATTATTTGAGTTTTTCAAAAGTTTCGCGATGCCATCTGTTATCTAAGCTAAAACGTACATATCATCATGTTTATTGCACACATGTTTACTTGTGTATGTGACTTCTATTCAATTCGTGTCATTTGATATTATTATGCACGACAGAAGTGTAATTAAATAGAGTGTACAAATTACAAAGAGGTTTACAAAGAGAATTTCCTGGATTTTTCAATTACCTACCCTGTTCTTGTTTCCATGCACTTTATTGTTTTATTTCAACGTTAACACGTCTATAACATTCAATGCTTTTAACCTTATTAAGCGCTAAGGTATACAGTAGATCATTTATTGTTCGTTGTCAATAAGCGTAATGGATATAAATCAATCATTTTTTGAAATTAACTTTTCAATATTCTTTGAATAAAACTATTAATTTAAGTACATTAAATTTATTTACCATCATGATCCTGAAATGAACTAATTAATTGCCATTAAAACAATTTTTGGCAACATACCTTCCTCCTAGTAAAGTGTCAAACAACTAAATGATAATTTCAATAAAAATTGAACAGTAAATTACCATTTATTTAATATGTGGCAGATAGTAGAACAATATTTTTCATGATTGACCTAATTATCTTTTGTGGCTCGATTTATAATTAATACGTAGACTCAACTAATTCATAATAGTAAATAAATACTATGTGGTTAATAAATGCAAATGTTTATGAAAACAATAACTTGGTTAAGTGATAATGTTAATAAAAAATATAACTCTACATTATAGTGCATAAACTCAATTTCTCTTGTACTTTTTTACCCTCACGCTTCGTTTAACATCAGTTATACCTATTTCACATCATAATATGCATTTATAAAAAAATTCCAGATGTTTCTGGTTGGACTAACTTAGTTTTTAACCTAAAGCATTTTTGTAACATAGAATGGCAACAAATACACGATTTGAATATTGTAGTAGGTCGTACGACGGACACAAATATTTGGTGCGGAAATATAAACTGGTACGGAATCAATAATACAATGGTAATTCGTGTAAATTTTTATTGGAGTGAATATTGGAATTTGAAGTAGATAAAGTTAAATTTGAGAAGTAAATTGATTTAGTCATATTTGAATAATGTTCAATAAATAACAATATCGGAAAACAACTATCTATTATTCAAAATTATAAAAAAAAATGTAATTCTTTTCAAATGGAATGTTAAAAATATAGTTTAAAACGATGTTTACAATTATATGATATTTTCATCATTTTTAATATTGTTCAAGTGTTACAACGTTCAAACAATATAACTATAGTTAGATTACGTGAAGGACGTATTCGGTATGTTAATGAATCACTGTAATGATTAGCAATGTAATTATTCGAAATGTAAAATATGATTTCTCCGATGGTCAAAAGTGTACAGGAATAATTTTTTATGTCACATAAAACTAGAATGATCATAATACCTGCTTTTATATTGGTCAAATAAAACCAAAATAAAAATTAATCACAAAGTTATAATAAATTAAATTGAAATACTTGAGGTATAATTTAGGACAAGTAATTCTTTTGTTCCTACAAATCCATTTAATCTAATTAGTAAAGACGCTGTGATCATCGTTTTCTTATAGAAAATATATTGGTAGAAAGAAAAACATGATAAAAAGTGACATTTTTTAATCGAGCAACTAAAATTTTAAATATAATTATCGTATTAAATTTTTAGTAGTTAACAATTTATTTGAATTCTATTTATGTGATTATTACCATAAATTAATTTTATTTATTGCAAGCACGTTTTAACAATCTTTAAAATTCATTTAAGTTTTATATAAAGAACTCATGAAAAATTCAGTTTCTTAACTAATATTATCTTTAAAAAACCGATGAAATTTACTAAAATGGCAGTGAGTTTCCAAAAAATTCACTACCTACAAGAACATTGGAATTTTTTGTTTTTATTTTTTACAGGATCAGTAGGTACATCGGAAAATTATACATGGTCACTGTGATGTGAATCGACCCAAACAGAATTATAACAAAATACGGCGCGACGTGTCGTGTAAATCTAATCTAATAACACACAAATATTCTGTGCTTACATCAGGAATCGATGCTGATCAATTTTTATGAGGAAATAGTATATTTTTACTGATTATATGTCGTATATAATCAGTAAAAATATTATTAGTATTTGCCAACTTGGTAAATTTTTTTCCTACAAAATATTCGGAGAAAAATTATTGATCAATATGTAGAAAAATGTGTTCAATATAAAATATAAAATGAAAAATCGATTATAAATAAAATTTTAACATATCCAGTTTTGCATTATTACTTCTTAATATATTAGCACCTGAAGATTTAGAAAAGGCGAGGAGCGGGTAGTGTTTAGCGAAGCTCTATTTTTACCAAAACGCACAGATAAGAATTTTTTGTTGTGCAAACGTTATGCACCTTTATTGCCTATAAATAAAATTATAACAATTCAAATAATGATCCTAAAAAACTATTAAAAATATTATTTAGACCATTCTACATTTAATAGTAAAAAAAAAAAAAAAAACAATAGGTCCCTATTTAGCTTTCAAAAAATACCCTTAAAAATAATTTTTTCTTAAAATAAACTTGTTATTTACAATACTTCAAAAAATAAATTAAAGTGTAATCTATACATTTATAAGAAAAATAGGTTGTATATTGAATACATCACACTGTATAGCTGGCTGTATAGATTTGACTCAATGATAAAACTTTTTCTTTTTTCAATTAGACTTTTTATTAAAAAATTTAAAAGATTTTATGTATTTTCTAGTAATTTTTATGGCTATAATTAAAACAATTTTCCTTTATATTAAAATAGTAGCAATGCATAAAATTCCTTTACATTTAATTTTTTCAAATTTTATAAATTGATTGGTTAAAAGTTTTTCTTATATCAGGTTGGACAATTTTGTAAATTTTTATGAATGAGCTTATTGTAAAAAATTAAAACTTTGTATTAGGACTAACTGGTCTTTATATTAAAATATGCCGTGAACAACTAAAATAACATTCATTTACTGGACCTTTTTCAATTTTTGAAATACTGTTTATTTCATTATATTTAAATTTACAGAGTGGTCAATATTTGGTTAGACACTTTTCTCAGAACTTTTAAAAATTTTCCGATTAGAAAAAATGTCTAATAGTTTTCTAAAAAATAAATTTTAGAAGAAGTAAAATATTTAAAGAAGCCAAGATGAAAATGAAAAATGAAAATGTGTGATCTTGCTATTGATTGTATAGGCCTTCAAAATAATATATCTATAAATAAATTATTTAATCATCCGATAATCTGACAAAAACTATTTTATTAATATTAAACTAATGATATTTATATTACTTCTTAACAAAAGAATATATGTAAGTTACAAACATGAAGAATAGAACACAATACTAAAAAATAAGCTTTTTTGAACTTGATGAATTTTACAATACATTGAGAGTAAATAAAAAATATTAATTTTTTTCTAAATTATTTTTTTGACAAAAATCTAATAAAAATTCAAATAAATTAGAGAGTATTAAACTTCATTAAATGTTAGGAATATTTATTAAATATAAATCAAAAAATTGTATTTTTTAGTATCGTGTCATACACTCCATATTTGTAATTTTAATATGACATACTTTTATTCGATTTTTGACAGTTATTACTAAGATAGATAACTTTGAAAGCTTGCAAATTTTTGAAAATTATAAGTTCACATTATCTCTAAAAAAAGAACTAATGGAGTAACTCTAAATTCATTATCAGAAGCAACCCGAAAATACATAAAAATAACCCCTTTCACTTCGATAACTGACAACATTATTTTTTTGTTAGACAGTTTAAATTTGAAAAACATGAAAAATAATTTGAATTTTCTTACGTAATCAAATAATTAAAATAACATATTTAAAAATATATTTATAATATTTGATGTGTAAGTATTTATTATTTACCAAACGCTAACATAAATTAATATTAGTTTTTTTATTATCACCTATAAATTCAAGAGTTTAATTGGATATCTTAAATTTTTTTTTCTGAACCATTTTAGTGAATTTGTGCACATTTTCAAGTAAGTTTAACATAAATTGTTTTAAGCTATTTTTTGTAGATATAGGAAAAATTATATGTATACATACAAAATTTTAATTTCGGGTTAATATAATTATTATATAACTCATATAAATACCATAATACTTCATTATTTAAGTAGTTCATGATTCTAAATTTATAGGTAAAATGTACATCCCAAGTAACCATGATAAAATGTTTGCAATGTAAATTTCTAATTTTTAGCTTCGATGCGAAGTTGAGAAGGTATTGGTTTTACTATGATGTGTTTTTTTTTTTTTTTTTTTTTG